TAAAATAACTTTGAAAAATATCATACTATGATACTCTGAAATCATGATATTAATGTACACATTTAATTTAAGATTTACAGACCGCAGATACACTGATAATAAGAAAAACGAAATAAGGTTTTTTACATTTTATCCCGTTCTTGATTCTGTTATTGAAACTTTGAACTGTAAGTTGTCACAAGAATCTACATCCATTATCGACGCAGTAGGAAATTTTATATATCTTAGTTCTACTGAGAATGATCATAAATTTATGAATGTCAACATTTTGATTTAAATTATTCAGACTTACAAGCTGAAATTCAGTTACTGAAAGCCAGAAGAAGTGATAATTATCCTCCAAATAACCTACAGAAATGGCTTATTAGGCTAAATGATAGTAGAAAGACTACGTATTGTAATTTTAGAGAGGTACTAATCAAGTTTTCTGTGATTTCAGTAACAAGCTGTTCATGCGAACGATGTTTTTCAAAGCTTGTAATAGTAAAATCAAAGCTTTGATCTACAATGGGCCAAGAGTGTTTATCTTCTTCATTGTTATTATTTATTGAACAGTTGAAAACTATGGAAATTGATATGCTTGATGTTATAAATAAATTTAAAAAACTTGTTCCTTTTGAAAGGCGAATGTTACTCTAAAAATTGTATTTATTTTAAATTAGTTACTAAATTAAATTATAAATAAAATTAGTTTTAAATGTTGTATAGATTTCAAATATATTGTAAACATATATTTTTAATAAAGAAATAAAAATAATAAAATAAAAAAATTAAAAGATTTAAAATAATAATCTATTTCATGGCGGCGGGGGGGGGGGGTAGCGGAAGTGTTAGGTCAGGCACCCACATTCCTAAAATCCTGCACACGCCTATAATCTATGATGACGTATAATCTGACTCTCCTATCTCAATTTTGTCACGCAACACTTTCTTCATTTCTCCCTTTAAAATGTTGTTCTGTCGAGTGGGCATCCGATACTGCCTACTTCTAATTGGTTTGGGATCAACAATATCGACGTCACAGACTTCCTAAGTGGCCGTTCCAGAGAAACGGCCACTTGCGTTCTCAAAAGCACTTCTGATGTCTATGAACACGGCCAAAGAGTACTTAAAACGTGTTCCGAATTATCCTGGAATACAGGATTGAATTTGAATCCAGAATCTGAATTATATTGGAACGCTTATATCATGGGAAATGGAACAGACACATGCTTCCAGGTTACTGTTGGTTACTAAACAGAGAAGATACAATTACATCTCAACGCGAAAAGCAAGGCAAAGATGTTTCTTAAATGAAATTAAGACTTTATAAGATAGAAACCGAGGTCTTATCATTCTCAATACATTAGAAGGCATTTAGCCTATTTGGCTGCTTTTCTTCAATTTTTTACAAGAAATATATTAATTATTTCTATGTTATGTTCATGTGTAATACAGTGTTTTAAAAGATAAAAAATAATAAGCATTCCTTACATATTATAATAAATTAATTGTAATCTTGGCTGTACGTGTCTCTCATATCTCTCGTATTTTCATTTTGATTTTGCAAAACAACCTGATGTGATAGAGAAAAACTGACTCAGTTCCTGATTTAGCGTAGCAGAAATATAAAAGATCACTACTTAAAAATTATGCAATGATCTGAAAGTTTAAATTCGCAGGTCAGTGTAATTAGAACCGTTAAGATATTTTCCAACTTGCATATATAAAATCCTTATGTAAACACTTTGATCAGGTAGAGATAAAACTAAATGAAACAAATTTACGATTGCAGAATTGATGATCATTGATGAAATAAGGGATGTAGTTCACGGGGTTGGTCAATTATGAACAATGAAACAATTAGTTTGCAATTGAAAGGAAATTTGACAATTTGCTTAACTGAGGTAAACATCAATGATGAGATCACTATATTAAGATCAATAATTACAACATGCTGTACAATTTAAGAAACTGAAGAAGAGGTTTAATTGTGTATTTTAATACTGATCTGGTCTTTAATAAAATTAAATTTGTGAGAAATAACTTTGAAAACGTGGCTGGAACATTCAGATATGTGGCAAACAATAATTAAGTGGATTTATGGATTTACGGATGTTACTTCCACAAGTGACCAACTCTTGAAACCTTTTCGGATTGTATTGAATCCCAAATCTTCAAAATATTAGTATTTTGATATCATGTTCACTATTTTATCAGAATGAAGTGCAGAGATCATGAATGAGGAGGAAATACAGTGCCTCCTCAGATGTATGGATAGTTACCACTATTTGTACCATACTGTAAGCGACCGTAAATCACAATCTAGAGAAAATTCTCTTTCATGGAGGTGACTTAACTGCATAAAAAAGAAGAAATGGAACAACATAGGTGAGCCCGTAAAATGTGCTTCAACTATGAGCGACCTGAGCAGTAATATTAGTGAAGTGGAGGAGGCGCTTACACCCTCAGAGAAAGCACTTCTCAAAAACCTTTTAAATCTGCAATTTATGTCTCAAGTTTGATGAACAATCAACAAAACACGAAGAGAATTTTAAGAAAAATAAGCATTTAAAGGGAGACGTTAGATGTATGAGATTACTCCTAGTAAAAGGTACTGAATTAAAAGAAGAATTGAAAGATAGTTACCAAGGGCGCCCAGCTGTTGATGTCTCGACGCCGGTGCCCAGATACAGGTAGACATACGCTTGGTGCCCACATAAATAAATTTAGCGCATGCCTCGGGTATCTGGATACTACCGTCGCACCTTAAAGTGTGACGGCACCCCTACGATAGTGCGACTCACTGCGTCACGAATGTTCACGTCAGCGTGGTCCATTACAAAATATAGCAATTCTTTAAATTTAAAATATTTGTATCCTTCATCTTTTGAAAGGCAGAATATTCAGCTGGCATTGAATGCCATCAGTAATACAATGCCGTCCCTAAGGGACGACCCCTTGGACCAGTAAAGCAATTCTACAGTTATGACAGGAGTTGAGAATATGAAATGAATATCAGGAACGAACATAAGATATCAATTGTAAGCAGAATATCTCAATTTATTTTCAAACTGGCTTACTGAATGGAAAACAAAAATTAAATCAAAAACCCTGTCTGTTCAGACCCACTGCCCTTGTTCATACAACCCAAGGTCTGATCAGAAATTAAAATTATTGGCTTGCAGAAAAGAAATTCTAGTATGTTTTGTTGAGGAAATTTCAAACTGAAAAATTGGAAGATCGTTTTGGTAAATATAGACATGTCGGGGGAAATTGTCATATGCCAATGAGAGAAATTTTGAGCATGAAAGAAAACTCAGAATTCAAAGAGTATTTCCACTTGTAATGAATTCAGCTCATATGGGACAAATCATAACTACTGTACCCGTGGTGAATTTCGAAGTCGACATAGCAGTTTACGCTCCAACAAGCAATTTTGTTGAGCAAAAGGCATTAATAAAGTCTAATTGTTTGTACTTGTCTTCCTGATTTGGATACATTTCAATAACAAAAAAATGTTTGCCAAATTGATCTCCATGCTTTTTTATCCAATGAAAGTTCATCACCTCATAATTTTGTACAGAATAGATGTACTAAATGAAAAATATGTAATCGTATTACAGAATCGTTGCGGCCTATCATTACCTACATAAGATACAGTTCTCATGATGTAATAAAGAAACTAAATTGTCGTTATTGCAATAATTAAGACAGTACATAATGTGGTAAGTACGGCTGCAGAAAGTTTGATTAATGCCACAAGGTGGATTAGAATCTCTAAGTATGAGTCTGGTGGCTTAAGTTGCGCATACATTTTTAATTTAGACCAGCTGGGGGGAAGACGTAAGAGTATTACTAGGTTCTCGGGGAAATCAAAAGATAAACCCCGAAGGCCGCCACATGGAGATTGGATCCGTCAGAAAACAAGTGGAGGGGGACGTTTCCATTGTACTAGGCGGAAGAATTGGAATAGTTCGGCAAAGCCCTGAAGCAAGTCCCAGGCCAAACGGGGAGCGTTCGGCAACTGACTCCACGAGTGACAATTGATATCCTGTATCTGAATACCTACACTCAGAGCGAGGACCTGCGAGAAAGCTTGTCTAGGCACCTAGAAGCCCTGCTCCAGATTCAAATTGTAATGCTTGATCCAAACAACTGGAGGCAAAAGAAAGCAGTTTTCGATCTCGTCGGAAATTCTCCTAAGTTCGAGAATCAGAGTGGGATAAGTGAACTGCCGACTGAGGCGTCGCACAGTCGTCATTTGATGCTATACGTGCCTAGGATGTAACTCTTAGGTCTCAAAAAAGTGCATCGAAAATTTGGAGATTAACATTACCAGAAGAGGAACGAAATACCCCCCTTAAATACCGAAATTGTAGTCTTCAATAGATTAGACGATTGATGAAACCTTGGGGAAGGTATTTCAGAACATTAATCAATGGTTCTGGAATACGCAAAAAAAAATATGCGGAAGCGGAGCAGATAATACATTGCCGATTTATTGTGGTCAACCGAATTCATTAATAATATATTTTTTTGTGTTTGGACGAAAATGGTTTAATTTAAAATTACCTTGAGAGACGAAAGGAACATGCATAATAGCAATATATATAAACAGCATGTATAATTAAACTGCTTCAATCTAATTTGGCTGTCAATAAAAATTAGGAAGAAAAAACAACTAAAACGAATAATTGATGTTTCCAAATTAAAAAAATTAAGAATGGTACTAAACAAGTGGAAAGACTTACTGATTTGTGAGAAGTATTTAATATTTTAAACCTAGTAAAGCATATTGATGTTGATGTTTTAACATTTATTTGTGGATTGAAAATGATATGTTGCCAGTCATTTTAAAAAATTGTAATTAGAAATAATGATGCTCATGTTTATGGAACAAGACAAGCAAAAAAAAATCACCAAATTGATTTTGCTAACAGTACTAGAGGTACTGTGCACCCAGAAAGAAATGAAAAAAAGAATTGAATTAAAACTTACTTAGCCATGGCATTAAAAAATTAAACAATTTGCCTGAAAGTATTGAAAATAAAACATGTAACAAGGTTTAATATAGAGGTCAGGAAAAGCCTATGAAAAATATATTATAATAAAGTCTTTTAATTGTATGGAAGGAGTTTAAAATTAGCCTTGTGGCTATTCTTAAATAAATAATTATGAGAAAAATGAAGAGATAATAAAACAACACCAACTGTCTCTAAAGTATCTGAACCCTAATATAATAGAATGATATGTTAAAACTAAATGCAAATACTCCAAACCACCAACTAAATTTCACTGTTCCCAGAGAAACTAATCAAAGGAGGTGATCTATAAAGACAAATTACATCGCTTCATACACGTTGCAAAACAATTTCAATATTCTTTGAAGACCTAAGCTTCCAAATTGTATACAAACTATTCGCAATGTAATACTGGATCATTTGTTTAGCGTTTGAAGTACCAGCACATAATTGACGAATCTTGAATCCTCCCCCACTACACATACCACACATTATACAGTAATGGCTCAATATTTTGGCCACTAATTCCCAGAAGAATTGAATTGACGCATTACTTTACGTGGAGAGACTCGGGTCATCAGGTCTGCTCTTCTGTCTGACCACCTCTGACTGCTCTGAATATTTTCAAGGGGGCTGTGCTCTTTTCTCTGATAGCCCCTAACATTTTAGCAGACACAATTTTGACCAATTTGCGCCTTTAACTCTGAATTTGTCTTCTATTGATAAATGAAGTAAACGGAACATTCAATTTAAGTTAGAAAATTAACTACAATAATATACTGCTTATAAATACTGATACACAAAACATATAAACATCTTTTCAAAACTAGATTTTAGAAGATTTTTATTATATGCTAATATTTTATTGAAACAGAAGAATTGAAGTGTGGTATACCCTAACATAAATTTTACAATAATCCATTTTTACACTATTTTTTCCAGGCTCCATAATTTCTATTATTTCTGTAAATCCTATTTTTTTATTTATTTACATTTAGAGGTAAACAACTTCCAATTATTTCATCCAAGCATTTTCATCCTTTTCTTTCTTACCTCTGCCTTATTCATTTACTTCTTAGGCAAAATTTTCCATCATTAACCTATGAATATTTTGATTCTCCTTATTATTCATAATTTGAAATTTCTAAATTATTAGCTTGTCTTTCTACTTTAGTACAACCAAATTGCTCAATTTCATTTCCTGAACTGCACTCAAAGAACTTATCATAAAATTATCAACTCAGTAGTCTCTCTTCATCCAACTTATCACAATCATACAATACTACAGATTTTAAAGAATATAAATCATTTACATCAATTCTCAATAACAAATTATTAATGCTGTAAGGAGTATAAAACTAATAAGTATGACAGATCTTTACAGATAAGGTAATAATTATGCTTCATCTGTAAGAAAAAATGGTCGGAAAACAGCTAGAAACAAAATACACCTTCTACAATTTTAAATACATTTCCATCTCAGAAAGCTGAACGGATGAAGGTATTTTATTTTTGTCTCCACTTGTACTGGTCAGGAGTGTTCAACGAGTTTTAACTTGAAATGTACCACTGATCACAAGCAAAAAAAAGTCAGGGCTAACAGATATGACACTGGCCACTACTGCTGTCTATTGGAGCTGAGCAATGTTCCCTTAAAAACCTTTTCAGGGTAATGGATTACGAAAAAAGTAAATGCATGGGCTGACTTTAAAAAAATTAACACGACACATTGTTACTGATAGACTTGTATGTGAAAGAACAAGGAAATTACGCAATAACATAAATAGTGTTGTAATTTCTGGCCATGTGATGTCTGTTCCAACATATGATGAGAATCTCAAATGTATAAAAACTAGGAAGTGAGGTTCAAAAATGAAAAATTATTTGACAGACTGTATTGCTTGTTTGAGGGTTTGCAAGACACCAAAATTCATATCACATGAAACATCCAGTTTTTGTTTTTATTTTTCCCACATAGGAACTGGTCACGCATCAAATAAGCACTTCATATTCCCTAACGTACGGTGAAGTAACAACCCTAGTGTAAATTTATAAAGATACACGTTTTTAACTCCAATAAAAAATATTGTAAGCTTTCAAATTAACATTAATGTGAATCTTCATTTTTTTATTGCACTTCCTCTATCCTTACAAAAAAATAAAGTTTATGGACAAAATTCTATTGCATGTTTAAAACATGTGAAAAACCTCATATATTAGATATAATAATAATTAAATTGTATGAAAGTAATAAATAAAATTGAGACATCCAATAACAGAGGGAGCCAAGCCTCAAGAGAATGAGTTGTGCATTTGATTACATTAACTATACCTACTAAAATATAATAATGGCAAGAACAAACATTTCATAATTACATTTGTTTGACACTGAAATTCCTTTAATCAAATGTGTGAAATAAATCAATATTTCTAAATATTGATGAAAAATGAGACGCAAATACTATACTATTTACTGAATAAATTACAAAGAAAGACAAGATATTGAATAGGCGAACTAAATTTTTAGATTTTGCGGATAAGTTCCTTTAATTTATATCTCAACTAAATTCCAGAATTCAAACTCACACCTATCATTACACCAGTTTCAAATGAATCTTATCCCTTATCATAACGAGTTGGTAAACAAAAGTAAAAAAAACAAGTAGTGGACACAAGGGCATTCTGTTTTGTAGCTCAAATTACAAAGGTGCATTTTATTTATTTTAAAAATAAGTATTTGAGCATAAAGTCCATTGAACAGGCTCAAAGATGTTTTATTGTAAACATGTACACCAGAGTCTCCTCAACAACCACGACACCCATAAAGTGGAAAAAGAAGAAAAAAGCATAGACCAGACTAAAGGAGATTTCCTACAAAGAGGGTGAAGGGTGGAGCCTCTTCATGAAATCTGTCATGTGCAGCAAAGTGTTCAAGTTTATAAATAACATGACAGTCCACTTGCAAACCAGGGTTATCCTTTGCTGTTCTTACAAGTGAGTAGATTATCTTTCACTTATTGTGATAAGGGAGAAAAGGCTAAATTACTTGATGACAAATTTGTCATTTCAACAATCCTGCAACACATGCCATGATGCACCAATGTTATTAACAAAATCCGCAAGGCAGTTACAAGTGAAGATCAACTTCGAAATATTATGTTGACTTCTTTGTTTTGTTACCCGTTTCTTGAATGCATTCAGCAAAAATACAATATATATGGTAAACATAAGGAATCAAGAACACAATGTGCATCATTTAAGAACTAAAGACATTGTTTCAAATCGTGATTTCTTGCTCCTTAAAACACAGCAAGAAATAATGAAAGGTAAAAACATTACAAGCAAACACAACTGAAGAACAACACTCATTTAATCTAATTTTTCCTTTCATTATTATATTATTTAATTATGAATAATGCTTATCACTTTCAGTACCACCTCTGGGCAATCATTGCCCAGCCAAAGTCGTTCTTGAGCTGCTTAAGTGACACAACTCAAAAAACCAAGTGTTGAGATAAATGAGTTTGAAGTTAATTGAAATGCACCTGCCATCTTGCATTCACACTTCTGCCATCTTTTGGTGGAATATTGCACTCTTGAAACACTGCTGCAAGGTAAACCAATCTGCAATACTGGACAACGCATTAGCTCAAAATTCGTATTTATGAGTTGTGCCACTACTGCAGCCCACAAGCAACGTAGCTTCCGATCAGCTCACCATACACTTACTTTCATTAATAAACATAAGAAATTATTATTTCACAATTAAAAATTAAATGTGTAAATTAAATTCGATTGCTGATACATTACTATTTTTTTATCACAGTGTTAATTTAAAAATGTCTGGTATTATCTACTTCAGCTTGAAGGCCACTTAAGACCTCGACATTCGCTTCAGACAACTATGCAATATTTCTATAGTGTTCTCTATTCTGCTTACCACTGGAACACTTGGCCCAGCATATCAGGAATTGAGACAATGTGCATGAACTCCATACAGAAAAGCACCATTTCTTTGGAACCAAAATTTAAAAATCTGCAAATAAAGGCCTTTAATGAATTCAGGAATATATTCTGTTACAAATATGAAACTAGATTAATAATTAAGTTATTAATAATATACAATTGTTTTGGATGCAGTATTTTTCTTAGTTTTGGTTGAATGTGTGTAAGCTACCACAGTTAAACATGGGCAGAATTTATTATTACAAAAATAAAAGAAAACTTACCAATCTATTTTCCTCCAAACGTTCTTCACACAGTGGGAGACTCAATGACAGGTTAATACACATTTTTAGTTCTTAAGATCCATATTGCCTCAGTTCCAATAGGCTTCATTGAAAAAGACTTCTGGAGTGTAACATGCCTATTGAGTCAATACTCTACTCATACTTCCCTTGAATTAAATGTACATTCAGCAGAAAACAATTTTGTATTCTGACTTCCACAAACACCAAAGAATAAAGTTGCCATAGTGTTGAACCACATTAAATTCAATTCAAACACATACTTTTCAAAAGCTTGATTAAAACTCGATTTCTTGTAATCGCGTTACTATCTTCTATAACACATTAAGCTGTTACTGCAAAATAATTCATCTTGTGGATATCATCGCACAAACTAGCTCACATTCACATTACAATATCGCCAAAGTTGCCATGAATGGGTACAAACGAAAGCTGCATGATGGAAGAATAACCAATTCATATTAATGAAGAAAGCTAGCTCCATCATGTGAAGCTGGGTTCATCTACCACACACCTAAACGGCAGTGGTATAACCAGACATTCTGTCGAATAGTGCCGAGCGGGACTCCCGTTCAATTTTAGGAGTGTGCAACACCACGTCACTGTATTCCACATACTATACGTGCATAAATGCGTGTCAAATTAACCACAATACAACTACAGCAATGTTATAAACACATGCTAGACAAACGTAACTTTCTTTCTTAAGCCAAACCTGGTCCAAACACGTGCTCCCTACAGCAGTGCATCGTACAGAACACTCACACCGACTCACACTGTCCATGGTTTACCGCTTCAAGCATATAATACTACGCTCGAAGCGGTATATTTTATTCTGCATTCTTTGGAAGGTCCATCGCGACCGCCGTTGTTTAGTGTTTACGTTATGTCGATCGGACGTTGATTACGAGACGATCAGCAGGAGGTAATGAACAGTGATGAACAGTATTAAACTACTGTTCAAACTCATGGTCACCTGTGTGCCCAGTGCCAAACCTCAGTGCTGCCCTCACAGGGTATAACTATAATCAAATACTACAGAGACAGGACACTTCGCGATATATGCGACTTCCTGGAGGAGTGAAACACTCCATCTAGTGGCAGAACCTGCTGGAAACATACAGCCTAAACTCAGTGCTCCGTTGGTTTGTTTTCTGTTCGATTTCTTTTAATTTGATTGTTTTTCTGGTCAATTTCTGGAAAACTTATTTTACAATACTGTTCTTGGCATCCTTCCTTATGACAGAGACAATTTGTGCAGTTTTTGGCTGTTTTAATTATGAAATACAAAAGAACTCGCTTTCGTTCTTCACGTAAAAATAATTTATCGAATGTAGATAAAAAGCAAAAATTAAGAAACTTGCATATTCTGACAAAGCAGTATGTGAATGCCACTCTTTTCTACCCAAATGAATTAGCTATTAGAAAGCAAATGAAAAAATACCAAATGTATCACTGGAAGTGTAAAGGCATGAAGCATCAGTTACGGAACGTTAGGAGAGAAAACTCTCCGTGTAAACGCGCCTCATTCATTTTATTCATTGAATATATAAAACATCTTTGGTACATAATTATTTTCCGTAATTTGAGCCATTCAATATAATTAAGTCACAGAAAAAGTAGGTAAAAATGAGTCTTATTTCGTTAGGTCAATTTTAAAAAAATGTATTTCTTCCGTAAAGGCGCGTTTACACGGAGAGAGTTTTCTCTCCGGCGACATGACGTCACAAGAGAGTTTCCGGAACTGGTTATGAGACACGTGTAAACTCTCAGGAGAGCGATCTTCTCTCCGGCGACATGACGTCACAAGAGATTTTCGATGTCTCCAGGAAGTCTCCACGAGACTCTCGTGACGAGAGAGCAGTGAAAGGACTCTGGTATCGATGAGAAATCGTGTCTCCTAGGAGATAAACGAGTTTCAGAAGAGAGTTGGAAGACATTTTTACGACTTTTGCTCTCTTGGTGTATGTCCACGTGCTTTTCTGCGTCTGTGTCTGCGAGTGTTTACGATTTGCGAAATGGAAGCTACGCAAGCTGTTGCAAGCACAGGAGAGACGTGAGTACATGCAATATATTTTTATACAATACAAGTTTAAAATAAATTTTACGAGGACCAGTGTACACAATACTCATTGCATACAGATTACGTTCAACGCAGTATACAGTATAATACAATTTATACATTTCAGTACTAAATAATCTAGTAAATGCAGTGTATAAGATATTGATTGTGGAAAATAATGAACGGAGTATTCTATACTTTTTGGTGGATGTTTCTTGTACATTTTTACATGTAATAATCTATTTTTTCTACTTGCATATCCTTAATTAATGAACTCATTGATTTTTGTTACAGGAGATGGTCGAAGGAGAATGTAAGAAAGCTAATTGAATTGCTCGAGTTGAGGGAATGTTTATGGAGGTATAATACAATAATCTTAGTTACAAATTCTAGAAATTAAACATTTTTGCAAGTATAATTTTTTACTAATACTTTATATATACATTTTTTATTACATGTGTGTGTATATATGCAAGTACAATTTTCTTAAAATTACTGTCCTGAACTAAGTAATCTGGTAATACCTGAAAATACTTTATTAATAATAGGCTTTGTGGACAATGGTTTTAATAAGTATTATACTTTAAAGTTATAATTGCTTGTAACAGTACTTTGAGTATCAATGCATTGTAACAAGCATACAGTAATTGTCAGTGTTTTAATTAAATACATTTATACAAACTATTTTTGTATGTTGTATTTTTGTATATTAATGTTGATAGTTGGATTATTATTTTAATTAATCGGCAATTGAGTTTCTATAAATGCACCTCCTCTTCATTTCAGGAAGTCTCATGCCTTTTATAAGGATAAAGTGAAACGAAATGCTGCCCTTTCTGAAATGTCCGACCAGTTGGCAAGAACTCCAAAAGAAATTGAAAATAAAATACACAATTTAAGATGCCAATACAGAAATGAAGTGAAAAAGGAAAGAACGAGGAAAAGTGGAGCAGGCATGAAAGAGGATTATACCTCAAAATGGGAGTTTTTTAAGTCCCTCAATTTTTTATATGAAGGTGGAGAGACAGAAAGGGAAAGTGAATTTGATTCAATGGTAAGTTAATATTTTATTACATAAATTTATATTGCCAGGGAACTTCACCTTCTGCTACAAAATATTCTTTCAATTCATTTCTAATGCCTCGCATTGGTGGAATAATTTCTGCCTTGAGTTGGTTGAAGGTCAAGGAACGGAATATTTGTGCCATTCGTCCAACTCCCTGATTCAAATAAACCATCAACATCTCTAACACGTTCCAGGCAGGGCATACACTGCCAGAGGTGGACAGCAAAAAAAATAAGTAAGACCTACTATCAATTGAACTTTCTCAGGTGGAAGTTAAATAGTTCGGCGCAAAATCCAAAAACGGGCAGCAGCCATTCTAAACGCATTTTCAACAATGTGTTGAGCACAAGATAGTCTGTAATTAAAAACATGTTACGTACCATTTAGTGTTTGATGTTTAAATGGCTTCATCAAGTTTTCTTGCAGAGAAAAATGCATCACCTGCGTCTATGAGAAATGGAATTTTTATGTCACCCTGGCTGTGGCCTGGCATTAGGAATATTAATTTTTTTTCTGTTAAATGGCTTTATTCAAATTGCTGGTAGCAAAAACACAACCATCAGCATGGTGCCTTTGTGCACTGTTTGTGTATAGAAACTTGTAATTGGAATTGACTTCCGGTCTTGGGGTGGGATTGAATATGTACACGTTTCCCATCCAGTGCCCCAATTCAATTTGGCAAATTCCATTGCGATGAAAATTCCTCTTCTTTCTTCAGCCATTCATCTTCAGTAATAGGGACCTAGAAAATAATGTGAGTTAAATGTATTTTGCTTTTTCAGAGCAATACCTCGATTGAATTAGAGCTTGACATGAAGTCCCAAGAAATATTGCTTGAGAGTCAGTTGGCGTCAACCATGTCTCATGATGCAGGGCCATCAACATATGTGGTGTCATCTGCCTCTCAAAAAAAGAGGAAAAGAGAAATTTCCAAAGATGAAATTCTAAAAAAATGCATGACTGTATTAGAGACACACATTGACGAACACCAAGTGTTCGGAAAGTTTGTGGCAAGTGCTCTTAGAGATCTGCCGGAGAGATTGCAATATAAACTAAAAATTGATGTAACAGAGCTAATAGTTAATGCTCAAAAAGAGCATTATAGTTTAATGCAATAAAAATTGTTAAGCTCAAAATAAATGTTTTTATTTAAACCACCACGCATATTACAATTAAAGTTGGGTCAAAATGGTTATAACCAGGGCTAGGATTTATGTGGAAAACGAAGAATCTAAGATGTATTTGAACCACCTGAACTGAAAAAATTCTAGAATTTTGTGCTCTTTTTATTTCTTGTACAATAGATCTCTTTATGCTAAGAAATCTTTTTTCTTTTTATAAAGTTGAAAGTTTTTACTTCAATCGGATTATTTCATAATTGATATGTTTGCATTTTTTTATATTATAATTGTCCATTCTAGTGAATGAACTAGAAATTAAAGGTACTGTGAAAACTAAGGAGACAGGGTTTGATTCTTTATAAATTTATTCTCAACATTTCAATTCATTTGGTTCAACTGAAATTTTTCATGACACATTAGCTACTCTAGTTCATATATTAGAAAAAAGTCAGGAATTACATGTTAAATAATTATATTAGTATATTTTACATTTTATTCTTTTACATGATTGAAAATTCCCAATTACAGAAAATGAAAAATTCAAAAAGTATTTTCTCAAAAAGCAAAGTTATAAAGCATTTAAAAACAGCGTATGACTTATTGAAATTTCAAAATTTTTATTTTAAGGTAGGCAGCTACCTTAAAAATATTGACCAAAACGTTTACATCAATAAAACAAACTGAAGTTTTGTCAGCTATATATTTGTTTAATACATCCGAATTCACAACTTTCTGTAAATTAGTTATATTTATCTTCCAACAATGATTTGTAAGATCATAGTATGAAACTTGAATACTAAAAATTGCAAATACATTTTCCGAAGTTGAAAAGAATAGGGCCCTTTAGACGGATTCTCAGCCACGTTCCGGACCACGAGGTAGAGCGGGCGGGCTAGACCGTGGTGCGCAGGAGTGTGGATCTTATTTCTGCCACTCTTGTGCGCGCCACTCAAGCACGATTCGAGTAAATCGTCTGTGTACAGATGTCAGTGGCGCGCGGAATTTCAGAAATCCAACGATCCTTACGTGCGTTCCACGCTCCTTGCCGCTGCTGCTACTGTGTTGGTGCAGGTATATATGTTCTGATCGTGTTGTGCGTTATCCTGTGGTGTTTATGTAGTGTATAGTGAATTAGATTACTATTTTTCGATTAGCTTGATAAGAAATGCCCGTTAACGATCATCGTAAAAGGAAAATTATAGCAGTGCTTGGAACTAGTGCCACAACACTATACCAAGAGAAAATGGAGAAGAAAAAATGCACGGTTTTGGTTTCAGACCAAAAATATGATCACATACCGCTGTTGAAGGAATTAAAGGAGAACTATCCTGTAGACTTCCCGCACCCCTCATTTTTAAAATTTTTATTAGTATACCCAGAACTTTAAAGCTTCCATAGGCTAGGGCACTCCTATATATGGAAGAAAACTCCCTCGCCATATCCCGGCTCCAGCAACGAGTATCGGCCATTTCGAAATATCGCCGGTCACTATATCTCCACTCGCAACAAAACCACGCTCTTGCATGCAAGCCGGGTCTTCAGACGTGCGTTCTGAATCGTGTACCTGAGACGCTCGCTGCCCGGCGTGCGTTCAAGAACGTTGGTGTAAGGCCGCCTTATGTACTCTGCCAGAAATGGACAAACAGTGGAAAACAGGAGGTGGAGAATGGTTAAGTTTATTACATTTGTGCTGGCCTTTTTCAACATATTTAATTATAGTTTATTTTCAAAAAGATTCATACATTCAAATAATCCTTTAAACATTCCAATATGGCACTGCAAACATCAGGGATTATTTTGGAAATTGTACACTGAGTAATTCTGAATAAATAGAACAGAACTGTCTCTCCTGTGGCCCAAAAACCGTAGCGTCAAAGCTAGTCTTTCACCTCACGAAATACTTAAGCGCATTACACTATCTTGCGTCTTTATTGCTTGGGAATTTTTTCCCAATAAAAAATCAAAGCCTTCGGGAGTAACACGAACTTTTTATACATGGCTTCATCCTCTCCCCGCAATTCCGCCATCAAAATTTTGTACACACTTAACTCCTTCTCTTGTGAGAAAAACATATTGAAGTTAACGTTCTACCGAATAAAGTAAAACCTATGAAAAATCAAGGGGTCCAGATGGCATTTCTGCTGCCATAATTAAACTAGGAGGAGATGCAATATTACCGAACCTAATTAGAATATTTCACGTATCCATGAACAATTCTATAGTACCTGCAGATTGGAAATTAGCTTTTGTCGTACCAATGTTTCAAAGTGGTGACAAAACTATATTAAGTAATTATACGCCGGTAAGTCTTACATCAGTTGTCTGCAAACGTATGCAGTATCTAGTTGCCAGTTATATTAAGCAAGAATGGGAAATCAAAAAAATTGTTCTATGATGTAATGTTCAGAAGTGGTTATTCATGTAAAAGTCAGGTAGCCACGCTATTTCAGGATCTAGCAGATGAAATTGACGCGGGTGGTATATTTTCCCAAAGCGTTTGATGTCGTTCCCCACGATCGGCTCGTCCAGAAATTAATGAATTCAGGCACAGGAGGCATTGAGGGTGGTGGCGTGGTTTAGCGAGTTTCTGCGAGACAGAAAACTGAAAGTCCGAATTGGCCATGAGTGTTCTATTGGGGCAAGCGCTTCGTCAGGAATACCGCAGGGGAGTGTCATTGGACCTCTTTTATTTCTAGCGTTCGTCAATGATCTGACAGCGCAATTAATATCAAATGTTCGGCTTTTTGCAGACGATTGCATAATATTTCGTAATGTGCATACGAAAGAAGACGAAGAAATGTTGCAACGGGATCTTGATACGTTACATTGCTGGGCGGAAAATAATGGAATGACCATAAATAGCTCCAAAAGAACTTTTGGCAGGGGTCATAATTACAAGAAAGTCAAGAGAAATAAATTACCGTTTAAATAAAGACATTATTCCGATAGTTTCTTCATGCAAGTACCTAGGAATCCATTTCGATAGTAAATTAAGCTGGAAAAGTCACGTAGATTTTGTTGTATGGAAAGCCTGGAGATCTCTCCACTTTGTAATGCACACTTTAAAAAAGAGCACGGCAAACGCGAAGGAAATTGCTTATTTATCGCTTGTTCGTCCGAAAATGGAATGTGGAACAATTTGTTGGGATCCGCACAAAATTATACAGTGTAAAAATGTAGAAATAATTCAGCGTAGGGCAGGTAAATTTACTTTCAGGGACAAGAAATTGGCAAAATGGGATTCTCTCGAAAATATGCGATCAGTAGCAAGACTGCGCTTTATATAAAGCTTATAGCGATCATCCAGCTTGGAAAGAAATTAATCGGCGGCCAAGTATTCCTACATACATCAGTAGGGGGGATCACTGGCCCAAAATAAATTTCAGACCGCAGAGAACAGATGTGGGGAAATTTTCTTTTACAAATCGAACGATAAAAGAATGGAATACATTGTCTGCAAAAACCTTTGAACCCTTTTCTCGTAGCGTACAACAGTTTAGGAAATTAATTTAGAGTATTACTAAATAAATGAGGGAATTAGCTGACAATAGTAGGTTATAGAGCGATGGCAGATATGGATGGTGTGAATAGTTAGAATTTAGTTCAGCTCCCACTTTGTACCCTATTTTGCTAATATACCAAAAATGCCCAAAAATGTCACGCGTAAGCTGTTCTTCAGCGTTTTTTAAAAAATTCCGACCCAAAATCTACAACTAAATTCGATTCTTGCCCAGATTTGCTTACAACTTTCACATTTTTGTCCCCTAACTTTTGAAAAGATTAAAACTCCACTAATTATATATATAATATATATATATATAATATATATATACTATTTTTTGTATGCTTATGTGAATAAGGCGTTAAGTTACCAATAAAAAGTTTCTCAATCACATTCATTTCAAAATCGTAATTTACATGCTTAAGAACGTAACTGTGCGAATTTGAACATCGTAAGTTAAATGTGCTTTCATTTTGTACCATTACTCACAGTTTATATTTCTCCGTGTTCACTTGAAGTTCTTCAAATTTAATAAGTTTGCCAGAACAAATAAAGTATTTGGAAATTTCTCAGAATCGTCTGACCGGATCCGAAAACAAATTATCTGTTCCCCACCAGGAGACCAAGACGCGTCGAATGACACATATCGCACCCCCAATAGAAAGGTGACGAGTGAGAAATCGTCATTTTTCAGCTAAAAGCTGATAAGAGGTTACCAAGAGGTCTACTGCTATCCTGAAGTTGATTTTGAATTAGTTCAATTAGTGTCCCCTAGAATGTGAATATTTGGTAACGAATAGAGAACTACGAAACTTAAAATTGCAATTTCTGAGAAATCAGAAATTCGCACTTGTGTCACTTATCTATTGGAGGTGCGATATGTTTCGATTGGTGCACGGGAAGTGGTCTAATCGTGAGTAACGGATGCGCACACAGGCATACTCGCAGTTACTCAAATACTATGTTGGGGTTGCTTGAATGAGGCCTTGCCGACGCTGTAAACTATTAAAAGTATTTTCAGTGTTGAAAATTGAAATGTCACCCATAGCTTTGTTCAAATAAGTTCTTACAGTTTCTAGCATTGGACATAGCAATGAATTGTAGTAGCTACTAATGTCTTACTCCTGTTCAAAAATTTCCAATTCCCAATGACCTTGAACGTTATTGCCATAGGGGATATGCACTGGTAAATATGCAATTCCAAAATTAAAAACGCTTGCAGGTACGAATGCTTGGAATTTGTTCAGCTACTTTTTTACCGTTTTTTTTAATGTGCACAAAAATTCACATAAAAAATCATCTGTAAGCTGCTCTTCAGCGTTATTCTCTAATAAGATCATTCTCAATTAGTTCCAAAAATTCTGTCGTAAAATCGTCTACATTTCATTTTCCCCTGAATGTGCATAACACTTTCTTACTTTTGTACCCTAATTTGTGAAGAGATTAAAACTCCACAAAGTCAGTTTAATTGTGTTCACTTCTACTTCTACAACTGCTCTATTTATTGTTTTGTAGGAGAATCTATATAAACTTTAAAAAGGCGACTGTTTTGTATGTTGATGTGAATAAGGTGTTATTTATGTTTTAATAAGAATAAGGTATAACTCAAATTCATTTTAAAATCGGTATTTGCACACTTAAGAATGTAAATGTGAGAAGTCGAATGTAAGAACGTAAGTATGTTCCTGTAGATTACTCACAGTTTGGTTTTCTCCGTATTTACCTGAAGTTCTTCAACTTCAGTAAGTTCCAAGGCAACACTGTTCGTAGGTTTTTGCAAATGTATTTTTAAAACAACGTTAGAATGGATGCTAAATAAATTAAATCTGCTACGCGGCGATTCACTTCGTGCATTCAACGTAACCTACATAAAACTATTGGGGTGTCGTTGGTTTAATTCCCGACATATTCACTAAGATGGCAGCGCTGAAACACGGTTTTAGGAAATTTCTTGGAATCATCTGGACGGATTCGAAAACAAATTTTTCAGTTCTCCACCAATGAGACCGAGACGATTTGAATGATACCTCATACGTTTCGATTTGTGTACGGCAAGTGGTCTAACCGTGAATGACGGATCTGCATACACGCACACCCACAGTTACTCAAAAACTGTATAGGGATTGATAATTTTCTCACAATACTGAAAAAAGGAAATATTTTATAATATAAATTTGAAGATACACGAAATGGAATGTCTAAATATTTATTTTTTAATTTGTAATATTATTTAATATTTTTTAATAAAGCAAAGATATTTAATTACATTTTTATGCACTTTCGTGCGCACTTCATCATTCAAATCTATTGTGCATTTCGTTCAAGAACGGCAAATCATTTTCTTCAGATATTGTTGGTAGCAATATGCAAGGATTTCGTTGCATGATAGTTGGTAGTGCCGACCACTCGGCTAGGGAGGGAGGTGAGCACGTGTATCCACTGTGCTAATGGGAACTCGTGGAAACTGGAAGTTATGGATTCGTTTGGCGCGATTTGAGCGTGATTGTATTCATGGTTTATTCGAGGAAGATGAAGTATCCGATACTGGTAGTATCTTCGACAATGACGCAAAGACATCCAAAATGTTGGATGTCCAGCAATTCTAGCCCAGATACAGCAAATACTTTGTTTTATGTATTATTGTCTTCGGAAGAAAGAAAGAATCACGTAACGTAAGTCACATTTGAAGTTGTATTTCAGGGGCTTAGATTTAATGTCAGAATATTTCATAATATGTTTTACTAAATTTTTTTTTTGATTGTGTATTTTTCATATTCATGACTTCAACTATAAACATTATTGCAATTATTGTAAATTTGAGGTGTTTTGAAGCCTACTGGTATATTCATTTTTTATAATATCTCTATTTACAAACTTTATTTATATAATTTTTTATTTCTAGTGCTACATTTTAGAAGTAATTTTAGACTCAGTGATGTATTTATTTCAGTGATTTCTTTGGAAAATGTTTCATGTGAGATTTTTATCAGATGAAGTTAATTTTCTTTCCCTGGAAGTAAAATCCATGCATAGTTTTGCGAGTCCTTATTTCACTAGATTAAATAGTATTGTTCAGGAGGGATAGATATTTTGAAGGCAGTATTCTAAAATCAAATCTGAAGTTTTTGTTGTTTTTTTTGTCAAAAATTTCTATTACTTGAGAGCAGAAAGTCTTGTAATCGAATGTCCACAATGCTTGTTTCTCTTTCATAATTCAATTACCTACAGCTTATGAGAGAGAGTTAGGGATTATGAATCTCATGTAAGTTTCAATGTTTGGAAATGTTTAAATGGAAGTTTTGAGTTCTGATTCTTACTGGCTTACTACAATGTAATGGTCTATGGTCAGTAATAGCAAAGAGAAGATGACTTCTGGATTTTGTGCTTACTTTTAATATTAAAGTACAAAAAGTTAAATGCATATGTGTGTTAAATTTCATTGTTCCTCCTTTCTTATCTGATGTAATGAACTGGATGTGATTGTGAAGGAAGTAATGATCAATAAAGTTAGTTTACATTGTGCTTCGTGTATAGTTCAGTGGTTTTTGAATTTGGAATATTTAGTATAAAGGTTTAGCTGTGGATCAATAAAAAAAAAAGTTCTTTGATGGAAAGAGTTTTAATAAGTCATGAAGAATGAGATTTACAGTGCACATGTGTAATTGAGTCTTTTCAGTAACTAATACAACAATTCTTTTCCTTAGGAAAATAATGGAATTCCTAGATTTTCAGCAGTTGTCGTACTAATGATCGAACTAAGGAAGACATCTAATGCTTAGATATTGAGCTTATTTTGAACACATAAAAGTTTGTCATGCATCAAATTCTTCGACATATTGTCATTCTTACATGGATAGTTCTCGATCTGTACTGAAGGAAGGTGTGTAAATTTCTTGCTTTTTTAAACGTGAATACCAGAACATAACTCCTGTGAAAATGATTAGACATGAAATTAATTTACAAGGAGAGTTGTTGATTGCATTGGCAGTTATTGGTGTCTTTAAGGCAAAAAACTTTTGTTTTTACTAGGAGTAAAGGAACATGATTTTAGATAAGATCAAGTGAAGTGTTAGCTCCAAACAAGAGTTGCCCATATAAAGTTCTCAATCTTTCTTGATGTGACCTGCTGGAACTTGAGAACTGAAAGGACTTATGATAATAACGCATCAGCTGTCTTCAGTGAAGTATGTTTACAAGTTTGTTTTTTTAATTTAAAAAAATTTCAAATATTTGTAACTTTTTTCCAAATAAACAAAAATATGTTCATTTTTAGATCTTGAGTTGGTTCCATTCAGAAGAGTGGATTTCTGCTCTTGTTGTTCCTGCCTGCTGTGCTGGTAGTCCATTTGGGAATTGCTGTAGCAAGTGTTCTAGTGGTAAGCGACAAAGACATTCATGTAGTTTCACTCATTTTTTGAGGCAGAAGAATAATATGAAATTTTTGTGGTGAGACAGAGAATAGATGATACAGATTGTAATGGAGAAAGAATTTGTGTGTTTGAGTGTCCCAAGTTCATTTGTGCTTGACAGTAACAATAAATTATTATGCCTCTTTCACTTTTTGATGGATTCATAGTGAAAAAATGTTATCATCTTACCATTTTCTGCATATTTTTACATGTGAATTGGTTTGCATATTGAAGATATAGTGGTGACATAAACACATTGCATGGTGTGAAGAGCTGCTGCTGATAGCAAAATTTTCTATGACGCAGAAATAAATGAAAAGGTGTAATTATTGTGAACTTTTAACATTTTAGTTTCATTGAAATTTGAATTCTGTACGTGTATTATATTTTGAAGGAACATGAAACTTAGATTTTAAGATTCAAGGTGCACTTTTTTAACATTTTGTGATGAGTAGAACTTGTCCATCAGTTTCAGATTTTTTTTAAGTTATTGAAGGGGTAAAATACATAAACGTTAAGATTATCTTGCATTTCATTTTTTGATGATGTAGTTTTTCTTTTACGAGTTATGATAGGATTGTTACTGAACTATACCTAATAGAATATTCTTTGCATGGTTGGGTTCAATAGTAAGTTCCTTGATTGTCAGTTGGCATTATTTTGTTGCTGCTTTGCTATGAGTTTAAGAGTTTACATGAAAAATCTCATATTTTCTCTCTATAAGGATTGTTTAAATTAAAAGAAATTGCAGGGCAAGTTTTTTCTCGATTCCCAATATCATAATAAAATATACTGTTGAAAGAAGAATTGAAAACAGTCATTCCCCAAAGTGACCTTTTCGGGCTGAATCAACTTGTATACATGATTGTTTTTAATAGAAAATGTGGATGTTTATTTTACAGTTTTTTTTACCTTGTCTCTTCACCAAGATCTGCTTTAAATTGGTTGTATAAAATTTATCCATACCAAAAGTATGCTTTTTTAAACAATAAGTAAAGTTTGGTAATGTGGGTTAAATACGAAGTTCGTTTTTTTTAGTATGTATATGATCAGCCAGTCTCCCAAGTGTTATTATATAATACTTTATTCTTTCTTCTTCTTTCGTTTGGTCATCTATGGGACCACGACCAATTGTCATTGCTTCTTCCTTTTGTCCGTTCCCTTTCTCTCCAGTACTCTTTCATCTTCTCGTGTGTATTCACTTTTCTCTCCTCGGACCACTTCTTGCATCTGTCCTCTTCTTATTCTTCCTGCCGTGGATATCCGTTCATTTCTTCAACACTTATCTTCTTAAAAATTCTCATCTGACTGCTTCTTATATTGTTTCTTTCTAAATCTTTTTGTAATTTCTTTATCAGGCTATTGTCGACTTCTTGTTCAAAGGTAGTTAAAAATTCGCTTAGTTAACTGTTGTCTGTCATTCTATATAAATGTCAAAAAAAATTAGCAGTCGCACTCTTCCGTAATGCTTTCGGTTATGTTCTCTTATAGTATGATAAATTTCTTCATTACTTCTTTAATTTCCATACCTCTGTGTTTCTTATCGAACCAGGCAGAATTTCTCGCGAAAATAATTCTTCTTTCTAGCGACTTCAACTTTATGTAGATTTGTAAGTCCTCGTACTAACATTCAACTTGCATAAAGAATTCTGGTTTACTCCTGTTTTGTGTGATCGTATTTTCGAAGTTTTTAGATGAGACTTCTCGTTGTAAATGTTTCTGCGTTATAGCCATTATGCCTCTCCTTTTGTTGTACCTTTCTTTACAGCAATTTTTTCTAGTACCATTTCTTGAATTATTAATTTAATTACCTTACGCAAATGTATAGCTTGGGATTTTTATTTATTTATTCTTTCTGTATTTTTTTTTTTTTTTTTTCTGGTTCTTTTATTTTGGAAGAGTTTTATATTTTTAATTTACTTTTTTTTTTAATTTTTTTTATCTACGGAATAAGTTGAATAAACCTTAATTGTTGGCTATTTCTTCTAGGAGATATTGATTTGGTATTTCTTGCATGTCTTACATTTTCCGGAAAGAATGGCAAAAGTCCCTCTGCAATGCTAGGCAGTAAATTTCAATCCTTTGTTTTTTGCTCACCAGTCTTATTGACGATATCTTAGTTCTTTGTAATTTTTGTTTCCATTCTCGTTACTACTTTCTTCCAGCGACACAGTTGAACAGGAGTGGAGACAAACCACACACTTGTCTTACACTGTTTTTATTGATTATTTAGTGAGCGTTTCACGGAAAAGGGTTTGCTTAGCTTAGATTTAATGCCAAATTCTTGGATTACTTTGTCTAATGTTTTCCGGTCATTTGAAAATAAAGGCCTTTTTTAAAATCTACTAATGTTACACTTGTCTTTAAGAGTTTGTAAGTCTGGTGCTGGATTAAATGGACTTAAGGTTGAAATCTGTTTGAGCACCCAATAGTGCTGCCTTTCTATATATCACTCTTGATATCTCCTCCAAATGGGTTATCAGTGTTCTTCACCTTGTTTTAGTATATTCTTGAACAATTTTTTTTGTAACCCACTGGTCAGCAGGAGACTATACTCTTAATTATTTATATCTTTGCTTGTACCTATTACTTATGCAAAGGATGGATAAAAGTGAACTTTCCAGTCTTCTGGATTTTTCAGGTCCCCAGATTTCCTCAAACATAAGCTGAAGGTAGCCCAATAATTTTTGGTTAGAGCTCCATTTTAAGAGTTACACTTGCTGTAATAGTTTCTCCACTAGCCTTTGTTGTTTTTTAGGATATTTATTGCTTTTTAATTTATTCGCCGTAGGTGGTGGATCTTGCTTCGAGTTTTCACTGAAAGTTTGGAAATTCAGTCTAGTTCGTTATTGTCACGTTTCGGTTGTTCAAAGTACTTTTCCTTAGGCATTTCCAGTTTGGTTATTTTAGACCTTATTTTACACTTTCATCTGAACAAAATTAACTTGCGTGACCGGTAGCCCATTTAAGTAGGGTTTTTAAACAGCCAACTTAATAGAAATTTCGAGTGTTATTCTTAACAAAATATGTTTTTCTATGATCAAGAAGTTGTGACTTTTCGAAAGATTCGTTTAGCACCCTTATTATCTTGCTGTCGTCGTTCCTTTGCAAAATTTAAATTGATCAAAGGTGTTCAGTCCTCCCAGGGATTTCCATTTTTTTCCATTGTTTTCATTCTTTCTGCAATCTGCTTCTTGCAAGTTCTCATTCCACCAGTTCTTATTCTTCCTTCTTTTTGTTACCCAAATATGTTCTCTTTCTGCCTGTTCGATTTCTTGTGGATAATCTTCCCACTCCCTGAATTAGCTATTTAATTTCTTCTTGAAAAATTATTTATTGGCTTCTTTTTGTGATGTTTGAGCCTATCTGTGTTATACTTGATCAATTTTCGCTGGTGCTGTTTGTTTGTTTGGCAGGGGAGAAGTTCAGCTTAATTTTGTTAAGGTAATGATCAGAGTTTAAATTTCCTGTTTCTTGTTACTTTTACATTCATGATTCTTTAATATTTCTTTGAGAAATAGCCACGTGATCTAACTGGAACTCCCCTAGCATGTGGATTGAGAGATTATAAGTTTTTTGGCTTTTCCTTGGTTTTCTTGAAGAAAGTTGACATTAATTTCAGATGAAAAGTTTTACAAAAGATTGAATTAATGTTGACCCATTTTTATTTGTTCTTTTATGGGTAGATATTCTCCTACTGTTTTTCGAAAATGTTTTTCCTTTCTACTTGTGCGTTAAATCCCCCAGTATATCACAACATTTGATTTTGGGATTTTTGATAATTAATCTTTCCAGAAGCTCAGAACGCTTCTACTTTACTCGGATAGATTTCTTATTGTCATCATTAATTGGGGCATGGCAATTACAAAATGTATACTGTTTGTTTTTGCATTTACAAGAAATTCTTTCTGAACTGGATTTAAGATTTCGTAACATTATGTACTAAGTTTTTATAATATAGAAAGCGGTACCGAGTATTGAATGCCTTTCATAATTTTTTATTGCTAGTTTTACCTTTAAAAATTCTGTGGTGTTTGGTTTCTGTAAATTTTTCGTCAAGAATCGAGTTTCTTGCACTGCGAAATTTGTATTTCATGCTTTCTCTAGAGAATTTCAAGTTCTTTCTGTTTACCAGATTTTAGTAATGAGTTTACATTCAAGGTGCTGTCGAAGAATTTCTTTTTAACTCTGTTTGGAAGGACTCTCTGACTCGCTCTTACTGCAGATGTTGGGACTCCCAGACCTAGGTTCCGATGTATTTGCATACTGCAGTGCTTACTATTGGCGGACTTTCATTCTGCAATTGAAATTGTACATGGGAAGGGAAGTAAATTCCAAGATGAGATCGGATTGTTAGTCCGAAGTGATTATTTTTTCATGGTTTTCTCCCATTAGGTTCTTCCGCTCTCTCTGCCGTTGGGAGTAAGATTCTCTTACCGCTTTTGAGACATTGTCCGGGTTTCACCTGTCACCCTAGGCAGGGGCCCTCACAGGGTCCTACCATTCGGAGCAGATAGACCTCAGGTTTTTTTTACGAGGTGTTACTCCCTCCCCTCCTCTTTCATCAGTTGTGAGATGAGGCCCCGGGCTTGGGACGGGGCATTGGCGGAGTTTAATATATTATTATTGTTATTAATTTATTATGCTGGCAGCAACAGCTGTTGTACACATCATTACATCGGTGTAAAATAAAGTTATATAATAATAATTTTCGTAGAGTAATACAGTTTATTAAGATAAATTACAAATAACAGATAATAATGATGCTATAATATATTATATATATATATATATATATATATTATATATATATATATAATATATTATATATATATATATATAATATCAATGCTATAAATGACATCATACACATCCCTAAACAGATAAGCCACGAAATATTAGTTTTTTAGAGATGATTCAGACCACAGGGAGGTAAACCAGCCTCTAAGAAATCCAAAAGTAATGAGTATACAGAGAATTCCGGAATTGAAAAACCGAAGTGCCATTATCTTCTAGAGTAAGAAGAGATGGAGCCTTGGCTCAAAGCAAAAACTGATGTATTTTGAACAGACAAGAGCTTTGTTGCTGATAGAGCATGAAGAAGAAAAAGAAGGAAGGAGTTGTTTGAGCTCAAAAAAAAAAAAAAAAAAAAAAAGGGAACTTAGAATTGTCAATTAAAGTTAAGAAGTACAGCTCAAAAATTTCAAAACTAATGCTTTGTATATCTTTCTAGTATGCTCAGGATTTTATTTGTTGTCGTTCCGAATATTTTATCGTGTTTTACTTTCAGTTTGTGATAATGGACTGACAATGTTCCCTTTCATAAGTAAACAATGTGTAAATATACAGGAGGAAGGGGAGTGTCATCGTTGTAACAGATGCTGCAGCACGAAAGGTTTGATTCACTGGAATGAACTTCCGCAAAATGAGGTGTTTCCATTTTTTTTCTTGTTTCACTTCAAGCATTAAACAGATAAAACAGCGAACACGAAAGCAAAGTTCACAAGGGTGAGACCAACAATGATCCTATCTATTAAGTTCATGACGAATAACACTAAAGTGACGTCACGATATTCCTCTTACAAAACTACAAAATCCCGTTTCAACAGCAGAGGTCGTTGTGTTAAGCGTTGTAGTGCTGCGTGCAGACGAGACGCTCGTTGGCTTGACAACGAAGGACACTCGTTCCTCGACGGTGCGCGGCGGTGCGGTCCTTCTCCGAGTAGTGTTGCGTGCAAGGCTGGCGAAGATAAATGCAAAAGCGCAATTCCGTTTGGGCGGCGGCGGTCCGTCGATGCGCGTGCGTTCGCGATTCCCAATGCTCTTTACACGAACGAGAGGTCTTGATACACACGCCAGGTTTTGGATGTCTTCAGGGAGTTTTCTCGTAAACGCGTGTGCTCTAACTCGTGG